ATATGGCAAAGGTGATGGGATTTCACTCCAATGATTATGTTATTGTATATATAAGACTCTTGTCTTGCTTGAAGGTATATTAGAGAAACTTCCTCTCACTGACTTTGAAGAAGCAGGCTATCATGAAGCCCACATCGTAAGAAATTAAGAGCAGACTCTAGAATCTGGGGATGGTCTCCAACAAGCAAAGAAGCCCAGAGTCTTGCAGTTGCAAGAACATTAATTCTGCTCACAACCTGAAGGAACTGGAAGTGGATCCTTCCCCAGCTGAGTCTCTGGTAAGACTGCAGCCAACAACTGAATTGCAGCCTTCTGAGACCCTGAGTGAAGGACCAAGATAAGCTGTGCCTAGACTTCTAACCTAAAGAAACCATGTGCTAATAAATGTGTGCGAGTAATTACTATTTCTGATCATTTGTTATAGCGAAGAAAATGAATACAACCAGTTATTAAAAAAATCATTACAAAAAGGCAAGCAATCTATTACAAACATAAAGAAAAGATATGAACAGTTAATTCTGAGAAGAAATATTAATGATCAATAAGCATAGGAAAAGATGCTTAGCCTTACAAACATAAAGAAAAGATATGAACAGTTAATTCTGAGAAGAAATATTAATGATCAATAAGCATAGGAAAAGATGCTTAGCCTTATGAGTACTCAAGGACATGCAAATTTTAAAAGTCTGATATTATTAAGTGTTGGTAAGGATATGAGGAAAGAGATACTCTGGTATTGGTATCCATTAAAACTATCTACTTTAGAGATTCCATTTCTAGCACTCAGTCTAGAAAAAACGTGTATATGTGCACAAACAGAAATATATTTAATCATTTCCCTACTGTATTAGCTTCCTAGGACTGCCATAACAAATTACCACAAACTGGGTGACTTAAAACATCATAAATTTATCCTCTCACAGTTCTGGTGGCTAGAAATCCAAAATCAAGGTGTCAGCAGGGCCATGGTCCCTCCAAAGCCTCTAATGGAGAATCCTTCCTTGACTCTTCCAGCTTCTGACAGCCCAAGGCATTCCTTGGCTTGTGGCAGAATAATTCCAATCTCTGTGTCTGTGTCTCCGTGTCTTTTTCTCGTCTTATAAGGATACCAGTCATACTGGGTTAAGGGCCCACCCTACTCCACTATGACCTCATCTTAACTAATGACATTTACAATGATCCTTTTTCCAAATAAGGTCACATTCTGAAGTTCTGAGAAAGACATGAATTTTGAGAGGTCAATATTCAACTCACAACAATTACTAAAAGGCATTTAGAGTGTTTCAGATTTCTCATTATTATAAGCAATGCTGAAATAAACAGTCATTCCCACCAACCCTCTTGACTTACAAAACTTCGGTTTTATTTAGACAGCAATATGCTCAACTCCAGGTATAAAACCATGCCTGCACTGAGCCTGGCATTTCTTTTTTGCTAATAATTGTTTTAAAGGTGGAAGCATTTTGCTCCAGGACAAAAAGAGAGGTAGAAAGAAGGTCTTTTTGCCTTCAACATGGTTATATAAAGTTACAATGCCTGTAACGCCGGAAGTCATCTTATATCCATGCAGTAAAAAATCTACAATGAAAAGCCAACATACTAAGAGGAAAGAATGGCAGAAAGGAAAGATGGGAAAAGCCTGGAACCTTGGCAGCTACCTTGAGCCACTTTACTAGCCCAGCAAAGACCTACTGATGGCTACACAACATTATAAATGAAACCAATGCCACTGAAGTATACACTTAAAAATGGTTAAAATGACAAATTTTATGTTATATATACTTTCCAATTTAAAAAAATCATATTAAAGGGGGGGCATAAAAAAAGCCTCAGCAACACCCATGTTCATTGCAGCACTGTTCACAATACCAAAAAGATGGAAACAACCTAGGTGCCCATCAACAGACGAATGGATAAGCAAATTATGGTATATTCACACAATGGAATATTACACAATGATAAAGAATAACAAAGAATCCATGAAACATCGCATAATATAGATGAATCTGGAAGGCATTATGCTGAGTGAAATTAGTCAGTGGCAAAAGGACAAATATTGTCTAAGACCACTATTATAAGAACTCAAGAAAAGGTTTAAACACAGAAGAAAACATTCTTTGATGGTTACGAGGGTGGGGAGGGAAGGAGAGGGGTAGTCACCAACTAGACAGTAGACAAGAATTATCTTAGGTGAAGGGAAGGACAACAAACACTATAGGGGAAGTTAGCACAACTGGACTAAACCAAAAGCTAATAAGTTTCCTGAACACAACCAAACACTTTGATGGATAGAGTAGCAGGGGCAGGGGTCTGGGTACCATGGTTTCAGGGGACATCTAGGTCAACTGGCATAACAAAGTTTATTAAGAATATGTTCTGCATCCCACTTTGGTGAGTGGCGTCTGGGGTCTTAAAAGCTAGGGAGCAGCCATCTAAGATGCATCAATTGGTCCTAACCCACCTGGACCAAGGGAGAATGAAGAACACCAAAGACACAAGGAAAATATTAGCCCAACAGACTTCATCAGTTTGAGACCAGAAGAACTAGATGGTGCCTCGCTACCACCAATGACCGCCCTGACAGGGAACACAACAGAGAGTCCCTGACAGAGCAGGAGAAAAGTGGGGTGCAGAACTCAAATTCTAGTAAAAAGACCAGACTTAATGGTCTGACTGAGACTGGAGGGACCCCAGAAGACATGGCCCCGGACTCTGTTAGCCCAAAACTAAAACCATTCTTGGACCCAACTCTTCAGACAAAGATTAGACTGGACTATAAGACATAAAACGATACTCGTGAAGAGTGTGCTTCTTAGCTCAAGTAGACACGTGAGTCTAAATGGGCAGCTCCTGTCCAGAGGCAAGATGAGAAGGCAGACAGGGACAGGAGCTGGCTGAACGGACACGGGAAATCTGGGGTGGAGAGGAGGAGTGTGCTGTCACAGTATGCGGAGTGCAACTACGGTCGCATAGCAGTGTGTGTACAACGTTTTGTATGAGAAACTAACTTGAACTGTAAACTTTCATTTAAACCACAATTAAAAAAAAAAAAGCCTAAGCAAATATCACCTTAATCTACCTTTCAAGCAAAACATTAAGAATGTGTCAATAATCTAAGCAGTGATAGTCTTTGATTAAATCAATGTCTGAGGATCTGCAAGATGCTCAAAAAAGAACAATAAAGAACAGTGCTGAATATTTAGCTGACCTCTATTTGAAATGCTCTTAACTCTAGGTGCTGCCAACCTATTAATATGTAGTTCAGTATGAAATTCTTGCATGGCACTGATGAAGGAATTATATAAAGGCAATGACCCAAGTTATCAATAGAACAATATGAAGAGTTAGCCAGTCTCTAAGAGAACAGACAATAAGTAATATCATTATTATTAGAACATTTTCAATAAAAATAATACAGGCATTTATCAAGAAGCTATAGCTACAGCTAAAATTTACCAAGAGCTCACTATATACCATCATTGTTCTGTGTTACACATATCATTTTATTCAAACCTCACAATAACTCAGTGAAATATGTTTTCTTATTATCTCCACTTAACAAGTGATTAAGCTTAGGCACAGAAAGTTAGATAACTTGCCAAAGGTCACACGGCTAGTAAATGGTAGAGCTAGGATTTGAACTCAGGCAGTCTAAGTCTAGTATCTATACTCTTCACCACTAAGCTATTGCTTTTTACATCTCCAACATTCCTAACAGTGAAACAGTGGAAACCTCCAGGTAGACTTGTATATAAAATTAAAGTTAATCACCACTGTTCATGAGATTTAGAGCAATAACAATGAATAAAGATATCCATGAAGTTCTCTAAATTCTGAAAAACAGAAGGTTCCATATATACCGTACCATGAAACCAGTGAAGGGCAGAGCTGGCCTCCTCCTTTATAATACACAGAGAAAGCTATGGAAATGAGATGGTGTGAAAAAGAACATTTAAACATTCATTCAACAAATATTTATTGAGGAGCTACAATGTGCCATGCCTTATACTAGATGCAGGATATTCAAAGATGTTTGAACCAAAGGGACACATTTGAATTTTTTGGAGTTGAAAACAAATCCTACTGTTGCAGGCTTCTCCCCTTGATCCTGTTTTCAGCACCACAAATTTAGCCATCTGCTATCGCTAAGGCTCTCTTCTGTTTTTACCATGGGCTATAACAGTGATTTTTAGTGGGAAAAGTGGTGGATGAGGGTAGAAAGAAGAAATATTTTTAGCCCATGAGGAGGCTTCCACAGAGAAACTTCTGAGGCACGTGATAGTGTTCTATCATCAAAAGTTCTAGTTTAAAACGGTGCCTGGCTACCACCACAGACTGCTCTGACAGGGGTCATAACAGAGGGTCTCAGACAGAGCTGGAGAAAAATGTAGAACAAAATTCTAACTCACAAAAAAAGACCAGACTTACTGGCCTGACAGCGACTGGAGAAACCCCGACAGTATGGCCCCCGGACACCCTTTTAGCTCAGTACTGAAGTCCCTCCTGAGGTTCACCGTTCAGCCAAAGATTAGACAGCCCCATAAAACAAAATGAGACTAATGGGGCACAACATTGCAAGGACAAGGACTAGAAGGCAGGAGGGGACAGGAAAGCTGCTGATAGGGAACCCAAGGTTGAGAAGGGACAGTGTTGACATGTCAGGGTTGTCAACCATTGTCATGAAACAATATGTGTACAGTTTAATGAGAAACTATTTGTTCTGTAAACCTTCATCTAAAGTACAATTAAAAAAAACAAGTTCTAGTTTAGTGTCACATTATAGCAGGTAACTGAGTATATGGGTAACTTTCAGGATCACGAACTTCCAAAGACAGACCTACAAAATGTAAGGCAATATAAAAGTGGCATCGGTATGCAGGAGATGAGGATGCTCAAGATGAAGAAAACAGCATATTTTCCTTTTAAATTTAAAAATACCTTCAAATAATCTATATTAACTGATTATGATAAACAACAGAATTAAGTTGAAATATCCATACCATTGTTTGACTGGTAAATTAAAAGTAATTTCTTGCCAGTGTCTCTGAGCTTCATAATCACCAAACATAGGGGGTTTTCCAGCACCTAAGATAAAAGGTAAAAAGAGCAAGACAACACTATACTTTAGCATGTCAATGATTTTTTTTTTTCCTTATGAAACTTTTCTAACTTATAGAGGCAGTGTAAGTTAGAGAAAAGAACCAAAAACTTTTAAGTCAGGTCTGAGTCTGAGGTCTGAATATTAATACTACTAAGGTATCTGAGTATTTTTAGTTTGTGAGAAAAACTCTCAACTATAAGGTCCAATAAGTATCATAAAAACAATAATTAATATCTATAATTTACAAAGGACTTTTACAAACTAAATATAAATAATGTAAGGTCAAGTATAGAACCAAAAACAGACTAGCATATGTTACAAAGACATTAGTTAGATCAGGCTTTGCTGTCGCATTAGTTATAAAAAAAGTTTCAATTTGTAGGAGTCCCTGGTTGGTGCAAACAGTTAATAGGCTCAACTAAACTAAAGGCTGGAGGTTTGGTTTATAAAGTTTCTTTTTAATTTCAAAATTGCAAGTAAGAAATAACAGACTTATAATAGCTAACATTTCATAGAGTCAACTAGGTGCTATATATATTACAATCCTATGCAGTAGGTTGTTATTATCCTTGTTTTACAGATTAAAAAACAGAGGCACTAAGGTCACCTAGGTAATAAGTAGCAGAGTCTGGATTTTAACCCAGGCAGATTGGCTCCATAATCCATGCTCTTAGCTCCTATTTTGTACTGCCTCACAGCTGGGTTAAGAAGGTTATTAGCTTACTCACTTAAAGTTATATAAATGTAAGTCCATTTACTAAATAGTAAACACCTACTATTTAGCTAGCAATCGATTACAAAACTGTGAGAAGGCCTAAAGAGGTACAACGAAGTCACAGGTTTTAAAATCTGGAAGTAAGGCAAAAATCAGATACAGTCAAATATACTCATGAGTCCCTTGGAAAGGTGTGCCACATTGGCAAGTGATGTATTATCTCTCACTTAAATCCAACCTAGATTTTCTCCAGTTTCAGAACAGACCATCATTTCTTCAAATGAACACTACATTAAGTAGATTTGTTGCATTTAGTGACTCTATTATACCAATATCCCATGAGATAATCATGGGAAAATCAGATTCAATCTCCAGATACTCACTGAGTGACTGACACAAGGAATTACCCACGGTACTTACACACATATATGCATACAGACAGACACACACCCCTCTGTCATTCTCAGAAAGTGTCATGTCTTGTTCATTTTTGTATTCTCAGGATGTAGTGGTACCTAGTAGATTCTCAATGAATGTTGCTATAGCAAGGATATCGATATAATCAGTGTGATATAGCACAAACCTTAAGTTCAAAAGACTTGAGAGTGAGCCCTGATTTTCCACGTACTCGATGTGCAACATTAAGCAAGTTGTGATGGCAGATCAATTACTTATGCCACAGCTGCTTTAACACGATGCTCATAAATAGGTTCCTGCCCCAAAACATCCTTAAGTCACTATCTAACTCTAAAATTCTAAACCTTTGCTAACATTGCTTGATCCCTATTTATATATCTCTTCTATCAGCTCATATCCAACCTTTCAAGAATCATCCCAAATCTTCCATGAAATTCTCCTTATAAATCAAAAACATATTTTATCATTAATTATTGACTTCTCATAATACTTATACTTTCAGTATCATATATTTTGTCACTTGACTACTGTCATGGATTGAATTATAGCCCCCCAAAAATGTGTGTATCAATTTGGCTGGGCCACAATTCCCAGTATTGTGTGGTTGTCCTCCATTTTGTTATTGTAATTTTGTGTTAAAGAGGATTACAGTGGGATTGTAACACTCTTACTAAGGTCACGTCCCTTCCAATGTAAAGTGAGTTTCCCTGGGGTGTGGCCTGCATCACCTTTTATCTTACAAGAGGTAAAAAGGAAAGGGAAATGAGCAGAGAGAGGTGACCTCATACCACCAAGAAAGCAGTGCCAGGAGCAGAGCTCATCCTTTGGACCCAGGGTCCCTGTGCGGAGAAGCTCTTAGTCAGGGGGAAGATTGAGGAGAAGGCTGACAGACAGAGAAAGCCTTCCACTGGAGCTGACGCACTAAATGTGGACTTTTAGCCTACTTTACTGTGAGGAAATAAATTTCTCTTTGTTAAAGCTATCCATTTGTGGTATTTCTGTTATAGCTGCACTAGATGACTAAGACAATTACTATTTTCTAATTGTTACTCAAACAAGAATTTTAGTTCCTATGGACAGAGAATTTGATTTTCAATACCTCAAAGTGTGTCAGGGGACCCCAAAACCTGAGCACCTGGCATTAACTAGAATAGCTGACCCAGACCTAAATTGGACTCCATTTTGATTCACTCACTAAGACCTTGGCTCCACTCCTGCTTTTCGCAGGATTCTTTGTATATCTGTAACTTAGGGCTGAAGTGTAGCCTTATTTTAAGATAAGAGGAAGGGACCAGATATACAGCTGTTATAGAAAGTTTGACAAAAATATTCTCAGAAGAATGATTCGTTCAGGATGTTCCAGGGTGTTAACAAATAGAATTGCTAATGTGAAAAAAGACTGTTAAGAAAGATTATAGTTTGATGACCCCTTTGTGGTTTTTGCCTTACACACACCTTGTGCCTGCGAACACATAGCTTTTGTTTACTCCACCCTATAAAAAGCCTCACTCCCCTCCTGCACTTCAGAACATTACTGTACTCTGCCTGTGTGTAATAGTGTCTCCAACTCACGAACATCTTATTCCTCAGTAAAATTCCTAACTTTCACTTTTAAGAGTGTAAGTCTGGTGCTTCTACTACGACAAAAGGAAACACATTGCCAGGAATATACTACGTACTTGCATTAAAAACATGCTCAATTAAACTGAACAGGAGTGACTAACCTGTAAAAAGAAACGGAAAATAATGCCCCAATGAATTAATTGTATTTTTGCATGTGTATTTTATAGATTTCTCTGTGTGTGTGTGTGTGTATTTCTACTTTAAGGAATACCACTATTGTGTATGTTTCCTTTTTTAGGGAAAAAGAATTGCTTTCTATTATTTTTGTTGTTGTTTTGGTTTGGTTTTAGTTGTTTGTTTTGTTCTACTAAGATAAAGAGAGGATATTCAGGAATTTCCTATACCTGAAAAACCAACTATCTTGGTTTTCTGAAATTGCTCTAGACTTGTGGTCAATGTGGAAGAATTTATTACCATTCTCTAACAAATAGAAGAATGGATAATGACTCTCTTTAGGGTTGAGAAACAAGTTTCTATCCAGAGTCTGACCTACTTCAATAAATTCAGCTGACACTGGCTATGAAATTAGTACTTAAGTTTTTTAAAACTGCTAAAGTGCCCTTAAAGCAACCCAGAAGGACAACCCAACTGTACCTATGGGAGCTTCACTTGGGAAGGGCAAAAAGGATTCCTTCCACAGTGATTATTCTACAAATTCATTTACATGAAACTCAGAATTACATAAAGAAAACACACCAATGTATATGTATATATAGAGAGAGCGAGCCACAATTCTGTCTCATTTTCAGGAAGATGGTCTTAAGTACCACTTAAAATTTTACTTTATTATTTTAATTGCTGAACTATTCAGAATTATGGTACAGTTTAAAGGACAAGTAGTTTCTTTCTTAACAATACATACAAATTGCGCCTTTATATTGAAATTTTAAACTTTCTAAGAGAAGAGAATTTGGCTAAATTTTCCATAATAATATCCCCCTTTTATACATTCCTGGAAAGTAAGAAGAAACATTACAAATAGCAATTGTTTAGATGAGAAAAACTAACCTAATTAATATGTAATTAATAGAACAGTCATACTTTAAGAATGCTTAATATAGTACAAATACTGAATCTCTATGACTTTCTCCTCCTACATAACCAATACAGCTTTGAGGAGGAAAAAAAAAGATAATTAAAATAAAATAACCTTCCTCAGTTCAAATGTTGCTATCTGCTCTAAAATCATTGGTAACACTTTACATTAAGTATAGAGGAACTGTGAATCTCTACAAGAAATAATTATAATCAATAGCTAAAATCAGGGTTTGTCTCCTCCCCCTGGCTTTGTTTAAAAGCGACAAGCAATACTCACCAATACTTTTTAGGTCTATAGAAGTTAATTACTAAGCAGCACTAAAAATTAAAGGGGTATAAACTTTAGAAAAATTTAAATTACAGTAATATAGTTTGCCTGTATCGCATACGCATTTCTAAAGGAGAAACAATCAGTGCATTACTACCAAACAAGTTAACCTGAGTTTCCTCACTTGAGTGCTTCCTAATTACAATCTTAAAAAAGATAAACAAAAAACAAACTAAAATAAGCATGATAAAAACAAATAATAAAAGTATTTTAATTAATAAAGGGAAACAAAATCTCAGAGGAATCACAGATGTTATGTTTATTCATTAATTCTTCTGGCATTTTCATGATCTAGAAATTCTTCACATGTAAATGCTAAAAATGTTATATTCTTTATAATGGGGTTAAGAACTCTGATAGAATCACCATTTTTGCTAGTGTTTAGAATTTTTATCTTTCTCATCTGAAAAATGACAAAAATATAGTATTTATCCATAAAAAAATCCCTGTAAATACTCTACCCTGGAGGCGTAGTGGTTACCAGCTCAGCTGCTAATCAAAGGATCGGCAGTTCAAATCCACCAGCCACTCCTTGGAAACCCTACGGGGCAGTTCTACTCTGTCCTATAAGGTCGCTATGAGTCAGAATCGACTCGACAGGCACCTAACAACAACAATGTGCAATAACAATACTTACGCAGTATTCCAAATATAGTCTCAGTTTGTTGACTCTCTTAATGGGGCAATTTTAGAGCAAACTTTAAAATAGGCAGTAAGAGTCCTGTTTACCAGAAGAGAGAAGTAATTGAGTAAACTCACACGTTATGAGAGAGATGTTAGAATAAGTAATGTACATAAGCAACAGGTACAGAAAAGTATAATATATGCTTGTCTCCTACTCAATTCCCATTAAACATTTGATT